TTTCCCCTTTTGTATTTGAGCATGCAAGAAGGGACCAGAAAGGGAAAGAGGAAAGACAAAGAAGGGAAAATGGGAAAAGAGCAAGGAAGGAAAAATAAGGAAAGAGGGGAAAGAAGAAAAAAGAAGGAAGAAGGAGGGAAAAAAAGAAAAAGAAGGAAGGAAGATTATAATGAGAGTGAGGGAGAGTCTGAGGGAAGTCCTGCCTTAGTATTTGGTCACCACAGGTGCCCCCAACATGAGTGATGTCAAGCTGGCCATGCCCACCATGGCCACACCCACCCCAGTCCTCTGAGTTAAAACAGAACCTTGATGTGACCCTCAATAAAATCTAGTTTGATACCCCTGGTCTAGAGGGTTTCCTAAAGACTGCTCCCCAAAACAGCAAAATAGCACTTAGATAATAACAAAGGAGTGTGGTAGCTATGGTGCCCAACAAATTAAATGTTGTTTGTAATTTCAGTAAGATGGCCTCAATCTTGCGGAAAGAATGGCAAGATTTTTTTAATCTCTTACTTTTTTTTTTTTACTGTGTGTGCAATGTAGGTAAGATTGTCAACACTACATATCAGGATAAGCAAAATAAAAACCAGTCATTCATTCCTCTCACATTCTGAACATTAGACATGATTTGGAATATGCAAGGAATTATAAAAGCAAACATTTCCTACCAAGCAACCGTGTTGTCAGAAACCAAGAGATAGATGACTCTGAAAACCTAAGCTAACCAGCAGAATGTGAAATGGGGTAAGCAAGCAGAACATCCAAAATTCCCCAAACATTACTGATACTAATGCAAATTCTAATGGAATTGGCATTAAGGCTCTGATTTTCACACTTTTACCCTGGGCCATAGAAATGCTTTGAGTAAACTTTATAAGATCAGATTGAAATAAAACATGGCTTTCAAAAACATACTGTAAATATAGCTTGAACAAACTATGCATGAACAAAATCTATGCAATGAACAAAATTTCCTCTGGAAATTTATCAAGGGCTTCTCACTTAGAATAATGGTAAGACAAGCCTAAGAAACTATTGCTATTAATATTTGTTCATACTACAGAAAACACTACACTCTGTTTTCAGAAAAGATCAGGTCAGAATATATGTTAACAACTGATCTATACAGGTGAAACTCGAAAAATTAGAATATCGTGCAAAAGTTCATTTATTTCAGTAATGCAACTTAAAAGGTGAAACTAATATATGAGATAGACTCATTATATGCAAAGCAAGATAATTCAAGCTGTGATTTGTCATAATTGTGATGATTATGGCTTACAGTTAAATATCGGACTCTGAAAAGTATAAGAACAATATCGGACCTCTGAAAAGTATAAGCATGCATATGTACTCAGTACTTGGTTTGGGCCCCTTTTGTAGTAATTACTGCCTCAATGCAGTATGGCATGGAAGCTATCAGCCTGTGGCACTGCTGAGGTGTTATGGAAGATCAGGATGCTTCAATAGCGGCCTTCAGCTCTTCTGCATTGTTCGGTCTCATGTCTCTCATCTTTCTCTTGGCAATGCCCCCTAGATTCTCTATGGGGTTCAGGTCAGGTGAGTTTGCTGGCCAATTAAGCACAATAATCCCACGGTCATTGAATCAGGTTTTGGTGCTTTTGGCAGTGTGGGCAGGTGCCAGGTCCTCCTGGAAAATGAAGTCAGCATCCCCATAAAGCTCATCTGCGGAAGGAAGCATGAAGTGCTCCAAAATCTCCTGATAGACAGCTGCGTTGACCCTGGACTTAATGAAGCACAGTGGACCAACACCAGCAGATGACATGGCTCCCCAAATCAACACAGACTGTGGAAACTTCATACTGGACTTCAAGCATCTTGCAGTATGTGCTTCTCCATTCTTCCTCCAGACTCTGGGTCCTTGGTTTCCAAATGAAATGCAAAAGTTGCTCTCATCAGAAAAGAGGACTTTGGACCACTGACCAGTTCTGTTTTTCTTCAATCCAGGTAAGATGCTTCTGATGTTGTTTGTTGTTCAGGAGCAGCTTGACAAGAGGAATACGACATTTGAAGCATGTCCAGGATCCATCTGTGTGTGGTGGCTCTTGATGCACTGACTCCAGCCTCAGCCCACTCCTAGTGAAAGTCCCCAACACTTTTGAATGGCCTTTTCTTGACAATCCTCTCCAGGCTGCGGTCATCCCTGCTGCTTGTGCACCTTTTTCTTCCACACTGTTTCCTTCCACATAACTTTCTATTAATGTCCTTTGATACAGCACTTTGGGAACATCCAACTTCTTTTGCAATTACCTTTTGAGGCTTTCCCTCCTTATGGAGGGTGTCAATGATGGTTTTCTGCACAACTGTCAGGTTAGCAGTCTTTCCCATGATTGTGATTCCTACTGAACCAGACTGAGAGACCATTTAAAGGCTCAGGAACCCTTTGCAGGTGTTATGGTTTAATTAGCTGATTAGGGTGGGACACTTTGAGCCTAGAATATTGAACCTTTTCACAATATTCTAATTTTCTGAGATTGTGGATTTGGGGTGTTTATGAGCTGTAAGCCATTATCATCTCAATTATGACACATCATGGCTTGAACTATCTTGCTTTGCTTTGCAGTCTATCTCATATATTAGTTTCACCTTTTAAGTTGCATTACTGAAATAAATGAACTTTTGCACGATATTCTAATTTTTCGAGTTTCACCTGTATAAGGTGACTCTATCTTAAATTATGCCACTTGAATCTTGTTGTTCATTTAATATATTTATAACTCCACCTTTAAAAAAAAAAATCTCAAACTAGTATATAATAAAATTCAAATGATTAAATGATTCAAATGAATGTGTATGTATGTATGTATATATGTTTATGTATGTATGTGTGTGCATATAAACCGTGTTTCCCTGAAAATAAGATTGGGTCTTATTTTTTGGGGGGCGAAATAAGCACTTGGGATTATTTTGGGGGAGGTTTTATTTTTTTGACATGCAGCTACCGCTAGCCCCGCCCTTTCCATCCCACTATCTGCTTGCCAGCAGGCGCAACAGGCCAAATTCTCACGTGCCTTGGCCTCTACCTTCCCTGCCTGCTACTGGGACACTTCTTGGCCATGTGCTGCTAGCCGCTTAGCAGCTGCCCATGCTGCTAGTGGCCTAGTGGGGCTCTTTGCCCTCCTGGTGGGTGGAGGCCGGGGTATGCCGAGAGCTTGGCCCCGATTGAAGCTCCCTGGGGTGGAGCCCACAGCCCGGCGCTTGAAAGGGTCTTGGGGGGAAAGCCCCTTTACGCAACCCAGCCTCTCCTTCATTTGGGCAGGAAGCTCCCTCCCATCATGCAGCTGGATGGTTGAGAATCGGGCAGTCCTGGGAACTGCTCTCCAGTTAGATACAGAACTCCAGCTGGAAGGCATCTCCTTTGGGCTACTGAGGATCAGCCTGCATGCCTACTCAGTGCTGCAAGCACCAGGCTACACCCCTGGTTCTGGTGGGTGCTGCATCTCTCATGTCAGCTGTGCATGGGGTAGCTCCAAGTGAGAGGTAGTGGGGGATGCTGGGTAGCAATTGGGGCTTGGTGGTGGATTGCGCTGAGCAGAAGGCGAGGTAGCTGCAAAGCCACCACAGGCAACTGGGGCATCCCCATGTTTGCTTGCCTCACAGAGCTGGTATGAGAGCTGCAGCGGCCACAGGCCAGGGCCTGAAAACCACCTGGCTCGGCGTAGCTACAGCCGGGCACCTGCAGCTCCAAATAGGCATACAGGGTGGGGCTCAGCAGCCCAAACACTTGACAATGCAGGCTGGTGCCCATTGGGCATCCAAACACTTTTCATCCGCTTCGTCTCCCTCTGGGAGAAAAGGGCGCAGTAGTTCAAGTGATCAAATATCTCTCTCTCTGTGTGTGAGAGAGAGACAGAGAGAGAAAGAGAAACGGTGGAAGGGAACTGGGTAAGGGGACTGAGCCTCTCCCACCCAGAAGCAATGTGCAGCCTCTCACAGTAAGCAGAAATGCGTACAATTCTGATTATTGTGAAAGACTGCGCATTATGAAGAAGAACGAAGCAAGGTTGTGGTAGAGGGTGGAGGACGAAGCAAGGCAGAGGGTGCAGAGCTGCCTCAAGCACCCCGCACCGGCTTACCTGAATGCCCTTCACCCATGCTAAACCCTCCCCCCCTTCCCAGGGCAGCCACATCTCTTCACTAACCTGCTTTCCAGTTCCGTTCCCCGCTGCACGTTTAGGACTAGAAAAGTAGTCTGCTGGACTACGGTTAAAAAGAATACAGGTAGTTCAGATCTTCTAACTTCTCATAGAAAAAAAAAATCTTGCGAAGTTGGAAGGTTATTTTTTTACCATAGTGCCACAAACTATTTTTCTTGCCCTGCACATGGTGATGGAGAACAGATATTATATATATATATATTACTGCATATATTTTAAAACTTTAAAAAAATGTAAACTGCATATGATTCAAATTTTTCTGCAATATGTGGCTCAAAACATAAAACAATATGTAAAATATTTCCTGAAGATTTAAAAAAAATGGGGAAGAGGAAAATAACTAACTTAGAATAAAGATAAGTAATGACTACTACTTGGATCTTCCTTGAGTGATTTAGCTATTCTACTGCCTTTGATGGAATTGTTTCACAATGGGAGAGTATTAAACTCGGAAGTCCAGTTTTAAAAATAGTCTGCTTATAAGGGAGCAATTACTATTCTAATCATTTTATTGTAAAATTGACTGTATGAAGTCATGATACTAAAATAGGTTCATTTATCATATTTTAAGAGAACTTAATATATATTTTAATAATATATGTCTTCATATATATACTCAACAGCATATATAAACATATTTATATTTTTATCCAGCTCAAAAAATCCCACATAACTCTATATTAGTTATGTGCTGTCTAATTAACATCAACTCATAGAACCACATACCTCTTTTATTTCTGACCAATTAACTTAACCATAAAAACAAAAAAAGACACATATAAAACAAATTCTTAAAGCATATTAGATATATTTGGAACCTACCGCTGCAGTTCTGTCCACTTCGCAACGGCTGCTTAAAATAAAACAGGCTTCTGCATTATCCATTCTAAAAATCAGAAAGTTGAGGGAAAAATTTAGGAAACTGTTTTTAACATACCCAAGAAACTTCTAAAGATAAGTACTTGCTTTAAATGTAAACTTTAAACCAAATTAAAATCTCTTTTTCACTTTTTAAAGAGAAAATAAAACATATTATATAAAATATATACCTGTTAAAAATATATCCCATAAACATAACGTAAAAATAAGGCATCAAATATTAATATTATGTATTTTTCTCAGTCTTATCAGGGTAAAATTCCTATATTAGACCATGTGATGTGTTGTGCATCAGCCAAAAAAAAAAAAAAGGAAGCAAAATTATATCCATTTTCTGTAATGGTATTTTTGTCAACCAGAAAAAAAGTATATCAGTTTTAAACTCACCTATTCTGCATGTCACAATGTGGATTTCATCAACTAAGGTTGATGTAACAGCATTCCAGATTTTGACAGATGAAAGCAAGATTTGTGTACATATGCAATGGCACATAAGAAATATATGTAAAATCATTTTTAAAAAAGTTATAGTATACAATGCTTGTTCCGTTGAACAGAAATGATTTGTTAATATTGTTGATTTGGGACAAATCTATAACCCTTCCTTCCTTCCTTCCCTCCCACCCTCCCTCCAGGCAAGTTACTGTATATATCGCAGCTTAACAACACAGACATGAACCAGATTTAAACTGATTTACAAATGCTTAATTCTACACTACAAAAAAACTTTAAAATTATATATCATCACTTGAACTTGGTACAGAAATTGTCTCGAAACCACTCTGGTTATTTCAATGAAGAATTATAGAAAGCACATTTACCAGCCTTCTTGCTGTGTTCTGTACCAGCTATGGTTCTTAGACCTATATTTAGATCCATTACAGAAATCCTAATGCTTTTCGTTTATTTAAACTATGATATAAGGGGGTAGGAGTTGCAGGACAATTGACAAGTGGTGAATTGGCAAGTAATGGACTGAATAATGGAGCAAGGCAAAGGGTTCTGGAAATTACTAGTTTAACCAAGAAATAAAGGAAATAAAGGCATTAATGAAAAGGGGGACTGAACACAGGAAGTTCATTATCTTAAATGTTGTTCTATACTGCACACAAAATGGGTAACAGGCAAAATCAGATGGCTCTTGGCATTAAGGCAAGTATAACAGGGATTACAGAAACACAGTAGGATGAGTTCCAGCAGTGGAACAAGTTCTTAATGGGTACAGCTAGCTTCAAAGTAAAGGGCAACACAAGAAAAGCTGTCATAGATTTACATATTAACATCCATGAACAGAAGTCAACTGATTTGATGTGGAAACCAATCAAGTTAAAATAAAAGGGCAATGTAACAGAAGAACTCACTTGTTAAAAATTTTACTACAGACCACCAAACAAATCAGAAGACGTAGAAAATTTATTAAAACAGATAATTGAATGTTCAAACCCCCCCCCAAAACAGCTGTGATAGGGATACTTCAACTATCCAGGCATTTACTGAAAGACTAATTTTGAAACAAGTCAGAATATTTGATTGTATTGATAATAATTTTCTGCTTCAAAAGATTTAAGTAAACAGAGTATCTGGTACCTTGGCTTTGGTCCTTACTAATAAGAGGAGCTGACTGAAGATATTAAATCTGAAAGAACTTTGGGTACAGGAACAGAAAGAACAATCTGAATAAACTAAAATAAATAGTAAAGAAAATGTCACAGGGAGAAACCTTTAAAGCCAAAGCTGCTGCTGCAACCAATGGAATTTCTTAAGCAAAATGAAGTTAAGAATAAAGCAATTTCAAGCAATATCAATGAGGAAGAAAATTTAGGAGCTGTTGCCAACCTTCAAGGTAGGCCAGGTGAATATATTTTCTTGATATTGATCAATTTGAACAGAATATTGAAAGTCTGAGTTTTTCCCTCCCACCATCTTATACCCTAATGAATTAAGGAAAAGTCAATATTAGCTTCTTTCTCACCCCCTGGTCTTAAGGTATGTTTTCACGATAATCATCTCTGCCTCATTTCTTTAATATTCTAGGGTATTTTTCAGAAGGACCAAGGGATTTAAAGACATTTAAATTAGCTAAAGGATTCTTTATAGCCTTGCTAAATTGTACCTTCCTTTATATATTTAATCCCAGTGTATGCTGCTCAAGATTTTATATCCTTTGAATATAAAAACAGAAGCAAAGTAGAAGTTGTGGTTATCTATTTTCTTATGATTATCTGTTAAGATTTGTCCATTTGGATTAAGAAGTGATTCAACCTAGCTAAAGACCTCTTTCAATAATTTCTGAATAGCTGTGGAAAACTGAAGAAATACAAGGGGTCATATTTTTTGAAGTGTAAAGAGAAACAATCCCAGGAATTATAAACTAATGAGCCTCACTATCAATACCTGGAAAGATATTAGAGCAGATAATAAAGCAGGAAGTTTATAACCATCTTGAAGACAATGTTGTAATTGCTGAAAGTCAGCATGCCTTCATTCAAAATATATAGCGTGAGACAGACCTTATTTCTTTCCTTGACAAAATAATCTTTCGTGGATAAAAAATGCTGCAAATGTAAAAAAAAGAGTATACAAACCCAGATGCTGAGGAATAAAAAAGCTCAGTTTTATTTTTTAGTCAATATAGCCAAAACATACTAAACACTTCATTTACTAGAAGGGTTATTAGGGGATGTGATTATGAGATGCTCATTATAAAAAGAGAGAAGTTCACTGCTGCTTAGCAACTACTATTCCAACGTTTATGCTGTGTTTCTTAAAAATGGCCTATTAAACGGCTTCCCATAGTGTTTAAAAATGATAAAAGTACATTCAACTACATAATTTGTAAGGAGAAATATACATTTTAATGGTTGCTTTCCTTTGAATTTACTACAGGCTAAATAATACTGCAGGTATTATGTTTTATAAAGCTGTCGCTTTATAAAAATTCACATTTACCACCTAACTCAGAGAAAAATCACATTTTTTAGCAAAATAAGAGTATCAATCCATGTATGTTTATTAGTGATTGAAAATAAATTATTAATTAGCCTAATTTACATTTAAAATTGGATTTTTTTAAAAAAAAATTAATTATTTATTCATTAAATGGCATATAATACTTGCAACCACAATTCAGCCCAAAATTTCCATTGCTAAGCAAGGCAGTTACGTGTGTTTTTCTCCATTTTATGATCTTTTTTTGGTCATAGTTGTTAAGTGAATTACTGAAGTTGTTAAGTAAATCATGTGTGTAAATGAATCTGGCTTTCGCCATTGACTTTGCTCGTTGGAAGTCGGCTGGGAAGATCACAAATGGTGATCACATGATCCCAGAACAGTGCAACTGTCAAAAATACATGCCAGTTGCCATGCACCCAAATTTTGATCATGTGACCATGGGGATGTTGCAGTAGTCGTATGTGTGAAAACCGGTAGTAAGTCACATTTTTCAGTGTCATAATTTCAAATGGTCACTAAGTGAATGGTTGTAAATTCAGGACTACCTATATTATTTCCTTTGAAAATTTGTATTCCTGTATTATTTTCTATACCATTTTTAAAAACAATCAAGAGTCATTGGTTTCATAAATAAATAAATATTCATTCTTAATAGGAAAACAAACATCTTTTTTATAAGAACTAATTATGCAAAATGATTATGTATTACTCCCATATACTCAAGCAGCTGCAATCCCATAATTATATATCTAGAGTAAGTTCCACCGATGATTACTTCAGAGTAAAATATAGAAGATTGCACCACAGGGAAGTTTGTAGCTCCTAAACTTGGAAATCCTGGATGTCAGAAGAATTAACTTATACAAATTATAAAATAGTACTTAACATGGTAAAAATAAAAGTTATTGCAATGCTGGTTTTGATTTCAAATGGGTTCCTACCTTCATTGTTCAATGATTTATCTTTAAAATCATTAATAAAGATGAAAGCAGTGGCCAGACTATTATTAAAATCAAATAGTGTAATTAAAGCTAAAAATGACTGAAGATTAAAAGGAAAGGAAATTATGGAAATGCTTAATCCATCTGCATCTAAAAGTCTTTCACATAGTCTCAGTTTTAAGAATTCTTTAAAATCAAAGTATAACTCCATGGTTAATAGAGATGAGCGTGAAAAAGAGCCAATTTGGTCTAGTGGTTAAGGTACCAGGTTAAAAAGCAGGAGACTGTGAGTTCTAGCTCTCTTTTAAGCATGAAAGCTGGCTGGGTGGTTTTGGGCCAGTCATGTTCTCTCTCAGCATAAACCACCCCACAGGGCTGCTATTGTGGGGAAAAATAGATGAGATGGGTGGCACACAGCCAGCGGGCCTGGGCAACCCAGAGCGGGATGGAGCCCATTAAATGGCTTCTGTGATCTGCTGTTGTCGGGGCAATGGGTGGGAGTTGGGGAATGATTTTGTTTTTGTTTTATTGCACTATATTAATTTCTGTTAGTTTTTATTGTTTTAAATGTGGTTTTATATTCTTTAAGCCACCTTGAGTCACCATGGGCAAATACATGGCAACATACAATCAATCAATCAATCTCTTAAAAATAATAAATAAATAAATAAATAAAATAATAAAATAAATAAAATAAATTAGGAGAAGGAAAATATTAAATATGTTTGTACCTTGATTTTTTTTATAAAAATAATCCAAGAATAAAATAAATAAATAAAGTAAAATAAGTCTAAGAACCAAATCTGCCCATACTACATGTCATAGTCCCAGAGTCACTCAAATATTTTATATTTGGCACTGACAAATATATGGACAGGAAGGCAGAGTCCATATTGAAAAAAGATACTGAATGGCTAGCTTATATGAAGACTCTACTTTTTTATGACAAAAATTATTGGTGCACAAAATAGGCTTCAATTAAAGCAAATAACATAGTGATTGAGACTTCCGGTTGGGTTCTGTGTCAGTGTGGAGCTGAGGAGCGGATCACTACTCTGAAAGATTCCGATTTTTGCTAGTCGGTGGCTTTTTGGAGTGTGTCGGACCCCAGAGG